CTGATCTGGTATGCCGTCACCATTACCATCGCCTTTGCCTGCACCGTTGAGGTTAGGGACTTCTGATTCCATCTGCTGAGTAATGCCATCACCATCAGCATCGCTATTGGGCGTGTTGGGATTGTCAGTACCAGTGTTGATGCTGAAAGCCTGAGACTGTGTCGGCCCACTATTACCAGCCAGATCAGCTACCCTGACCTTCAGGGTGTTGTTGCCGCTCAGAATCTGATTAGGCAGGTTCCAATTCGTGCTACCAATCGCCGTCACGGTATTGATCCAGTTAGCACCATTATCCAGCGATACCTGCACTGTTTCACCCGCGAGCAAACCGGTACTCAAACTGCCGCTGATGGTTTGCAGATCGATCGTCGTGATGAAATCGCTGCCGCTGATACCATCGTCATTCGAGAACTTCAGATTACCGATGGCGGTGGTCGGTGCTGTATGGTCAACCTGGTATAACTGTCCGGTAAAGCCGCCATTCAGCGGCAGGCTGGAGGTATCAACGATGCCTGTGCCACTGGCCTTGAGATTCAGACCCAGGCTGCCATCGCCAGTCAGGCCAGTGATCCTGACGGTATAAGTGGAAGGATCAAGCTGGATGATGCTGCTGATGGTGCCCGCTGCCGTACCTGTCGTGGCCAGCAAAAAGGCTGCTGTCGTGACGCCTGTGACTGCTTCGCTGAATGTCACTTTGTAATCTATCGTGCCCAGATTGGTGTTCTCATTCTGGATACGGGCGATGCCAGTCGCGACTGGGGCAACATTGTCACCAACAGCGATAGTAAAACTCTTCTCATAGGCAGAACCCATGGCATCGGTCGCCCGTACAAACACCGTGTAATTACCCGGTGTCATGCTCACAGGATTCTTGGCGACCAGGCTATTACCTGAAATCGTGAACTTGGCATTGTCCTTATCATTCGTGCCATTGCCTGTAACCAGAGTGAATGCTGCCGTATCACCGGGGTTGGGATCAATGGCAGTCAGGGTCCCCACACTGGTATTGTCTGCAGAACCTTGCTGGATAGTTGCGTTCGACAGCGTGATATTGGTTGGTGCAGCATTGATACCCGTGGCGATCACCGTGGTGGTGTTGTTCAATACCGCAGAAGCAATACCGTCATTGGCGCTGATGGTGAAGGTGGTGGTTTCTGTGCTGCCCACAGGC